ACAAGCCATTTCGTCAACATGCGGGCGTATAGGCTGCCGACCTCTTTGTCGTTCAGCTACCATCTCCTAACTAAATATTAATAGACAATTAAAGTATCATAACAATTGTGCACCTAGAGACTGCACTTTCGAATCTATTAGTAAATGCACATTTATACTTTCCACTCTACCAGTTTCAAGTACATTAACATATATATACACACACATATATATATATATATATATATATATATATTATATTATATTATATTATATTATATTATAATAGTATAGTGAGACAACTCACCTGAATAATTACTCAGACGACTGCCAAATATCCTTTGAATGATCCGATTGGTGGTATGCATTTATTAGGTATTATCCTATAATATTATATCTTATTAATATTTATAGGAATCTGGTAGAAGTTAGATTCTTCACTAATTCCAAATACACTTTCATGACTATCAAATAAGGATTAGTCAGGCATGACAATTGGGAGGCAGGGCCATTTCAGCATATAACTTTTCTAAAATCCAACAACCAAGTCAACGTGATCATTTTATACACCTCTCCGGTAAGTATATCAATCAGTGTATTTGAAATGAATTACTGACTAATTAGGTACTTATAGGTTCCTAATAATAGTTATAATTATAAACATAAGCTATCCTAAAAGCCTAGTAAGTGTAGCTTAACTTACAAAGTTTTTAGCAAAAAACGGGAAATTGCACGGGCATAACTCCGACCTGAGCACTTCAATTTATCTAGGTTATCAAATACCTCAGAGCCTTGCTAAAGTAGTCGGGAAATAAGGAGTATCGGGGCTACGGTGCGAGAGGGTTTCAAGAGGATTTGAGGTTGAATAGGTGAGAAAATGAGATGAAAACAAAACATATATATATATATATATATATATATATATATATATATATATATATATATATATATATATATATATATATATATATATAGGGTCACAGGGGGTGCACCGCACACCCTCTTGGGGCACACTGTGCTTATTGATTGATGTTGCTCCAACCTTTGCGTGCCATGTGTCCAAAATCTGGTGGGACACACCCACCTTCTACAACACGCGCTCGTCGTGCTTACGTACCTACGCGTGAAGTTTTTCGAAAAACTTATAAAAATTGTATCTTCCTCATACGAGTTTCGTTTTCGACGTTCTTTATATCCACGTGTAGCTATCAACGAGTACTACAACTTTTATTTAGTCTCTGTCGGTTAATTTTAACTTTATTTTTAAAGTTATATTTTTATTAGGCTTAGACCGTTAAAGTCCATATAAAAATTATAACTCTTTCATATGACATTTGTTCTCAATTGTCCTTATATCGATGAAATCCTATTCACGAGATCTTCAACTCTCATTTGCATTGTATTGACTAATACTTAACCGATCTTAATTTTCGATTTCAGTGTCGTGCATTGTAGTTCTGAAATTTCAAAAATCATAACTTCCTCATACAGAGTAATAATTGGATGTTCTTTATAAGCACGATCTCGATTTTATGAATATTACGAAATTTGTTTAGAATACTAAGACTAATCAACAACCTATCTCCCATTCATTTTTTACGACACGCCTTATCGTATAGGATCGAACACAAATCTTCGAATAATCATAACTTCTCCATACGAAGCCAGATTCGAGCATTCTATATATTTACGAAAATCATATTGGCATTTCCTACATGTTTATGATGATTACTTTGGATAAAAAGTAATATATTTCTACTTTGAGTTTTATAAACAAATGTTTATATTAAATTGTACTGAAGGGTGAAAACAAAGGTGTTACACTACTCTTCTTCCATTAGAGGAGAACATGTAACTGACAATCATGACACCAACAAAACTGATGACCAAACCCATAAAACCTATCACTTTATTATCATCAAATATACCGTACATGAGGTAGCTAGCCTATATGTACAAGTGATACATATCTAGAATACTATCACTAAGACAATGGTCTATCGTTATCAACATAATTATTTGTCCCGGGACTTTATTGGAGACTCAAGTATCTACCCATCGTGAGCAGATGTACAACTTAATGAGGAAAATTGTTTCCAAAATGTTAAAATCATAAAAATCATTTCTAGTCATACATGGGTTATGCATTCGACAGTTACCCATCTTAATAGTTTGATATCACACTCCTTCTAATCTTATAACATGTCTTAATCATCATCTATTTTATTAAAATCAAATAGTTACAAATGACCAAAATACCCCTACAAGGGTTCCTAACTTATTGATCTCATTTTCAAGTTTTAACCATTTTTATAAGCCTTTATGGAAGTTTTGAGGGAAATTGAAGATAGGAATCTATGAAAACCGGAAAAAAAATTGGATTTCATGATGGACATCCAGAGAAACACTTGAACCATATGTTTTTCCTCTTGGAAAACCCACGGACCTTGGGCCCTCTGAAAACCACCTATAGATGTAGTCGAGGATGAAGATAGAAGAGGGAAGGGATTCAGATCGACGATGAAAAGGGAAAATGGATGAGGGAGGAGATGCAGTCGATGTCATGGAATTAAACGAGAGAGAGAGAGAGAGAGAGAGAGATTATAACAAGAAAAAGAAAGGAACGTGAGTAGTGGGTTTGGAAGCAGGACCCACATATATTACTTATCATTTGTTTCTCTGATAACATAATATTAATAAATAAAAAATAATAATAAATGATATAAATATCATTTCAAATCTTGTAAACACTAAACCCAAACCAAACCAAACTATAAGGATTATCTAAATTGGAAAAAAGATATAGGAACAAAACATACAAACTAACTCAATCAAATTTTTTCCACATCTATTTCTTAATTTAAACCTTGAATAATTTAAATATCTCCTTGACTGAACCCACATCTTCTTCTTCCTTTTTTTGATAAGTATAAGGGATAATGACTTAAAAAGGTAATGAAGTTTCAAAAATGTACAAAAAATACCTTATTTTATTTTTAGTACTCAAAATACCATTAAAGTATATTTTTTATACACAAAATACCAATGAAGTACACATGTGTTCAAATAATACCTTGTGGTAACCTACAATAGCCGGTAAAATGGTATTTTGTGTACAAAAAAAAAAAACTTGGTCTTTTTTGTACATTTTTGAAACTTCATTACCTTTTTAAGTCATTTTTCCTTCTTTGAATGTAATGGAAATTTAGTTACTTTTTATAAAGAACCCTCCATTTCACTTCGGCCACTACTGTTGTTCATCGCCACCCTCCACCACCATGGCAAAACCCTTTTTCTTATTCTTCCTCATAATCATCTGCCTACTTTCATCAACGCTGGAATCTCACCGGCCACCTCCGTTTCTTGGCAAATCCCCACGGCTTCTCAAAACCCAAAAATTCTTGTTCAGCCGAAGTACACTTACGAGACACGATACTTTGATTAGACTTTTGATCATTTCAGTTTCAATGATCTTCCCAAGTTCCAACAACGTTATCTCATCAACTCCAATCACTGGGTGGGCCCAAGCCCTAGTCGTTTGGGTCCAATCTTCCTTTATTGCGGCAACGAAGGCGACATCGAATGGTTCGCTGCCAACACCGACTTTGTTTCGGAACTCGCCCCTCGTTTTGGTGCCATGGTCATCTTCCCCGAAGTAAAAGCCCTAACCACTCTACTCTACATTAATTTGTTCACTTGCAGACCTTTAATAATACAATTTTATCAAAAGTTGCGTGATTTGATCTAGCATCGATATTATGGTGAATCGATGCTATATGGAAGTCAGAAAGAGGCATACAAGAATGCTTCTACTTTAGCCTATCTAACAGCCGAACAAGCACTTGCTGATTACGCTCTTCTCATCATCGATTTGAAGAAAAATTTATCAGCCGAAGCATCACCTGTAATCTTGTTCGGCTGATCATACGGTGGAAGTAAGATCTTTTCCAACAATTTCAACAAAAATTAAACAAGCACTTGCTGATTACGCTTATCTCATCCCATTTACCTGAAGTACCTGGTTACCACAATGTTTTAGTTGAACACATGTGTATTTTGTTGGTATTCTGTGTACAAATAGTAACATTAATGGTATTTTTTGTACTAAAAAAACAACAATGGTATTTTTTGAACATTTGAAAACCGGATAACCTACAATAACAGGTAAAATGGTATTTTGTGTACAAAAAAAACAACAATGGTATTTTTTGTACACTTTTGAAACTTCGTTACCTTTTTAAATCATTATCCCTAAGTATAAAGATGGTTTGAATTAAAAAAAGAAGTCAGGGATACACAGATACAAGATATGGATGGACTCCAAACCAAAGGACCATTCTTGTAATTTACTATAGTTAATTATAATTTTAAAACTAGGGTTTGGTGAAACCGATTCTCATTCAACGTTTCAATCGAGTCCGAGATAAACACAAGCACCATCGTCTCACTCTCCCTCAGAACACGAAGACGCCAATACTACCTCCGGCGGTCTCCCTGTCCCCCCTCTCTCTCTCTCTCTCTCTCTCTCTCGATCAAACGCGATTCTCGAAGCTGCAGTTTCTTTGTCCGGTCTCTCTATCTCTCTGCTCAGTCCGACATACGAAGTCAGGTAGCCGCCTAGCCGCCCATCCACCTCCGGTGGTATTTCTGTCCGCTCTTTTGGTCTCTCTGCCCACCGTAAACGCAAACCCATAGAGGTAAATTTCAATGTACGATTTTGATTTCTGATTTCAAGTTTTAATTTTAGATAAATGTATAATGTCAGAATTTCAGATTAATGTGTAATATCAGATTTTAAAATCTGATTTATTTATTTTATTTTTTATGTTACTGAAGTTTGCATAACTTATTCAGAGTTCTGAGTTCACATATGATGTTTGTCTGCCACTGGAAGTTTGTATAGTTTTGAGCTCTAATTTCTAATTTATGTATAGTTGTTGTGTGTTACTGGAATTTTGGGTAATTATTAATGATACTTTTTTTTTGCTAGATCAGTTATCGGAGTTCATAGCATAGAAAGAATGGGGATGAAGCTGTTTGACAATGGTGGCTCCGATTCTGATGACTTGTCCAAAATAGAAATCAACAAAGAGTTCGCACGCAGATATGAGCATAACAAGAAACGTGAAGATATACAGCGGTATGAAGAGATGAAGAAGAAAGGTGTGATTGATTCGGACATAGATAGCGAGGAAGAAGATGAGTCATCTGAAGACGAGGAGAATATTGTCAATTATTCGAGAAAGCAGGATTTGCAGTTCTTTGATGCTTTAATAAAGGTCAAAAAGCAAGATCCTTCACTTAAAAATAAAGATGCTAAGCTATTTGATTTGGATAATGAGGATGAAACTGAAGATAATAATAAGGAAAAGAAAAGGAAGCCGATGTATCTGAAAGATGTGACTGCAAAGCATTTGATTGAGAAAGGGCCTGAGTTTGATGATGAAGATGATGAAGAGGAAAACAAGGGTAAGAAAAAGAGTTATTCTGAAGAACAGGAGGTATTAAGAAAGGAGTTTTTGGATGCTGTAGGTGATGAAGACGATGATGATGATGATTTGTTGAAGGTAAAGAATGATAAAAGGGGAATCGAAGATGAAGATGAAGATGAAGTTGAGTATGAAAAGAAGCTAGATGAGTATTTTGAAGAGGATGAAAAGTTAGATGAAAATGAAAAGTTTTTGAAGGATTATTTCAGGAAAAAGATGTGGTTAGATAAAGAGGCCGGTAGTAGCAACCACTTAAATGATGTGGAATTAGATGTTTCAGAGGATGAAGAGGAGTTAGAGAGACAAGAGAATTTCGAAAGAGAATTCAATTTTAGGTTTGAAGAAAATGCAGGTGATAGAGTTATGGGGTTTTCAAGAAAGGTTGATGGTTCAGTGAGGAAGAAGGACAATGCAAGAAAGTTACAAAGAAAAAACAAAGAGGAAAGGATAGCACTAGCAGAGCTTGAAAGAAAAGAAGAACTGAAACATATGAAGAACTTGAAGAAGAAAGAGATGAATGAGAAGATTAGAAAGATTAGAGAAACAGCAGGAATTGGTGAAAATGAAGTTTGTTTATTAGATGAACATGATCTTGAGGAGGAATTCGATCCTGATGAGCATGATAGAACAATGAAGAAAGCTTTTGATGAAAACTTCTATGAAGCTGATGATGTGGACCCACGATTTGGTAGTGAAGAAGAAGAAGAAGATGGTGAATTGGAAAAACCAAACTTTGATGAAGAAGACCAGTTTCTTGGGCTTCCAAAAGGGTGGGAAAATGAATATGGATCCGGTGATGGATTCTTGGCTACTAGAGAAAAAACTCTTAAGGGCAAGATTGACAATTCAAATAATGAAGAAGATAAGAAGAAGAAAAGGAAAAGGTCTGAAGAAGAGGAGGAGGCGATTAAGAAAGAGTTAGAAGAGTATTATAAATTGGACTATGAGGATACAATTGGGGATTTGAAAACAAGGTTTAAATACAGACCTGTTAACAAGAACACTTATGGATTGAAAGCAAAAGAGATTTTGGTTGTTGATGACAAGGAGTTGAATCAGTTAGTTCCTTTGAAGAAGTTGGCTACTTACAGAGAAGATGAATTCATTGTTCCTCGCCATAAGATAAAGGAACATAAACAGAGGATTAAATCTCTTATTAAGGGGGAGACTTCTGAGAATGGTGGAAAGAGGATCAAACATGATGTTGAGAAATCTAATGAACAAGTGATTGATGATGCACACACTGAAGGTGAAAAAGTACTTTCTAGGAAACAGAGAAGAAAGAAGAAGCTGAGTGAATTCAAGCTGCCACCTTCAAGGCTTTTAGCATATCAGAAGATTACAGGAGCTAAATCCAGTAACAAAAGGAAACACAAAGCTTAAGTGAAGTGGAGTGAATTCTATAAAAGGTATGTTTTAATGAAATTAAGTTTATGATCATGAGAGACATTTTTGGAGCAATATTATGGGATGACAGACATTTGTATAAGTTGTTTGATTGTTTAAAAAAACCATCAAACCAGTTTTGAGTTGTGTTAAATTAATTTTGGGATGATTGATTTCTAGATGATATTACATTATTTCATGTTTTGTAGTTTTGAACTAGTTTTGAGTTGTGAGTTTTGATTAGAGTTCATGCTTTGATTTAAACGTAACTGACACAAGGGGTGAAAAACACAAACTACACCTATCTTATGCTACTTGTTTAAAAACACAAATTTGTATGTTTGTTTAACTTGTATTTATACATGTTGACAGATAAATTGCATTATTGAAATTGGTTTTGCTCAATCGGTTTTTGTGAGTTTATCTTATTTGATTTTTAGGTTATTAAAGCATCTGCGTATGATGACAATGAAAACTAAAAGGTGAATTGATTTTATTCCCTTAGGCAACGACTATTGCCACCATAACCATCATTACAACCACTGTTGCTGGACGTACCAGCCACAACCATCAAACCCATCACTACTGCTACCAACATGCCACCCTAATCACCATATATCACCACAACTACCCTATTTAGAGAAACACTTAAGTCCCCACCATTTTCATCACTTCCATCTTTTCTAAGAGTTCTTCTCCCTCTATTGTTGTATATACACTTTCGACAACACCATTTGCCTCCTCTACTACAGTCGAGGTTAGGAGGTGTGGACGGTGATGGAGGTGCAATCGAGGTTAGGAGGTGTGGTCGGTGATGGAGGCGACAACATGTGATAGAGGATGAGTGGATGCTACATTTAGGGCTAATAAGAGATTACAAATTTAGTTTTGAGGGCAAAAAAGTGTTTTTAAAGGAATTTAATAGAATGGTCATTTTGTTACCCTTTGTTGCCCTTATAACGATTCACAACGTGTAGAACGGTCATTTTTTTTGACCGTTGGCGAGCTGTTAATATCAAAAAAAAAATTTTTTTTTTTTAATTTATATATAAACACATACAAACATAATTTTAACCATACAATCTTTCTCTCATCTTCATTCTATTGTCAACTTAAAAAAAAAAACTTTTCCTTTCAACCAAATATGGAGCAAAACCCGAACACCCTGTCTCCAAACACAAACACATTCATCCCGATGAGTTTCGCACAATACATAAGTTATATGAACTTGCTCAACTCAAACTCACCCTTAACGCAGTTTCCTACATCCCATTACATGCAGCAAAACCTAAATCTTCAACAAAATATTTTTAGTGCTTTCACCTCCATGCAACACACAACCACCATCAGAAACTGTTCCTGAAACACAAGCGGGAGGCAATCGGAAAGGGAGAGGGAAAGGGAAAGGAAATAGGAAAGGGAAGACAGGCCCGAATACGGAAGAAGACCATCCACTATGATGGACGGAGTATGCATTGACGACGACATGGTGCGGGACTTCAAAGAGTTCAACCATCGGAAATATTATGCGGAGAATTGGATTTCGGGAAGTTGTGCTTGACAAATTCCACGCTCTTATGAAGAAACAACCATATCGCAATATCGATATGCTTAGTAGCGAGTGGACTCCGATCAGTTGCCGGTGCACCAAGTTTAATGAAATTTTCATGAGACAATAATCGCAAAAACAAAGTGGTGCAAATGATTTTGATATGTACAAAGCTATGCAGGAACAATATCAAGTCAAAATGGGACACATTTTCGAGTTTGAAAAAGTATGGGAGATTGTCAGGCTAGATCCAAAATAGATTAAGGTGATAACATCGTCGGATGCACAATCAAATAGGTCTCGCAATTCTAGTTCTTCTAACATTTCCGATGTACGAACTAACGTCGACCTCAACGCCGACATCGAAGAGATCAACACCCCCCCCATGCCGACCGATCGGACACAACAAAACGAAATGCGCTCAATGTCACACGGTCGAAACTGATAGAAAGACACAAGAGTTGGTGGAAATGAAAACAAAGTTCAACCAACACAATCTGATCGTCCAACAAAAGGTTGATGTGCAAAATAAGCACTTAGAATTTCTTCGTAAACAAACAGAGAAATATCAAATTGCGAAGGATTTAACAATTCTTTAGACAAGTGAAGAAAATAAGAGACCACGAGAAGAGCTAGTGCTTTGGAAGATGAAGGGCGACTAGTTGATCGGTTTTTAGTTTTTAGGACAATAGTTTTTTTTTTTTTGGTGTGTGTGTGTGTGTTTAACATTGTGTGTGTGTGTTTTGGTGTGTAATGTTTTTATTTATTTATTTATAAGTTTTTAATGCTATGGTTAATCTAGGAGTTAATTAAATTGCATGTTTTATTTTTTTAAATTAATCCAACGTGATTAAAAAAATATATTGAAAAAAAAAACAATCAAAAATAAATAAATTGAAAAAAAAAGATAAAAAAAGAAATTATGACATGGAAAGTTAAAGATGTTATAACTAGTTGCTTATCTCCTCAATTTGATGTTATAACACAATTTTGATATGGCATATGAGGTGATACCTTTTGGATGTGATAACACCCCTTAACTAGTTGCTCACACCTACTACTCTTAGGTTCATACCTAGATATTTTTTTTTTCTCTCTCTCTCTCTCTCTCTCTCTCTCTATATATATATATATATATATATATATATATATATATATATATATATAGCCACATGTGACATTCTTATTGATTTTGCCGCATGAAATTTTGTGGTTATTTTAAATTAATTTTTATTCCACATGTTATTTTTTTTCATTTTATTAAACTGTAGATGGTATTTATTGAATATACATATCAATTTTATTAAAGAACTTTCCTTTTAATTTCAAAATTACCAAATTAAAGATTCATTAATTTTCTTTATTTATTTATCTAAATTATTTTTTTTATTTAAACGAGAAAAAAAAAACACTTTAATTTTTATAATTCAATATTTTCTCGTTTTTTCTTATAAATTAATTTCAAATGTTTAGAATTTTGTATTGTTTTTTTTAATAAACACATGTAATACATGGGTCTCACACATAGCGTGTGTGTGTATATATATATATATATATATATATATATATATATATATATATATATATATATATATATATATATATATATATGGGTGAGATCCGTTGAGAACTCATAGTTTTCCAAGAACTAAAGGTGGAAAGTTAAATCAAAATTAACTCATTAAGGACATGATCGTTATCTTACTCAGTGTTGTAAAACTCGCCGATTAGCCTATTACTCCTCCGAGTACTTGCTACTCGGCCCGTTACTGATGCGAGTTACAAAATCCCGAGTACTTCCCGATCAGCCCCTTACTGACTTGAGCAATGTTGTAAAACTCGATCAACTCGGTGATTAATATGTATAATATACTTAATGAGTTATTATTTAACACACACATACACATGTGATTATTACTATATATATATATATATATATATATATATATATATATATATATATCTATTTTCAGTAATTATTCACAAAGTGAGACCATTATGTGTTTCTCAGTTTTTGTGTATTCACATGTATCTAATTTTGTTATATATTTCAATCAACTTATGATTTTGACATATATGATTTTCCCAAAGATATTTCGATATGAATTACCAAATCCGAGTACTCCCAAGTACTCGCTACTCGGTAGTTGGCCGAGCAGGTACCGAGTAAAGAGTTCTACAACCTTGATCTTACCAATCTTATTTAATGTTTAAATTTTTTTGTTATTGGAAATATTAATAAAAATGTCTAAATATTAACATAATAAATTAAATTTCTAGATTTTTTTGTTTAAATTAATAATTTTCGTTTTTTTTAAATATACATTTTTTTTGAAAACATGAACTTTGTAAAAGAAATTAAAAACAAATATATATTTTTTAAAAATGCAACTTTTTTTAAAAATAGTAATTTAAAAAAACAAATTGAAATATTTACAGAAAAAGTATAATTTTTTTAACCAAACAAATTTACATTTTAGGTGTGTATATGCATCTTTCTTATACTACAATTTTTTTAATTAAATCACTAAAAACCCAATTTTATTACTAATATATAAACACAATAATGCAAATATTTTATTCGATACAAAAAAAAATGCTACAAAATTTCAAAGCGTTTTTATGTCTTCGTGTAAAGATTTCCATATTTTCTTCAATTTATCAATTTTCATATCTTCAATATTTTCCACAAATTCTTCCAAATCTACAATAAAATTAAAAAAAATGATTAATACAAGAAAACTCACAAAAATATGTATGTGTATATCATGTAAGATTCACATATGATTATATAAAGTGATATTCAAATGTGGTAGTATCTTTAACACTCAAATAAGCATTGCATAAGATTTATTTATTTATTTATTTTTTTTAAATTAACGAAGAAAGCTTGCACAAAATGCATGTGTACATATAGACGTAGTTCGTGATTCACTTGTGATTTATATGTGAATCATATGAAAATGTGTAATTCACTTGTGATTTACATGTGAATCAAATGTAATTTATATGTGATTTACATATGTATCACATATAATTCATGTGTGAGTTATTTGTGATTTACATGTACATTACATGTGATTCATATGTGAATTACATGTAATTTATATGTGATTTACATGTGAATTACATTTGATTCATATGTGAATTACACGTGATTCACATTTAATTAATATGTGATTCATTTGAGATTTACATGTGAATCACATGTAATTCATATGTGATTTACATGTGAATTACTTATATATCATGTGTGATTCACTTGTGATTTACATGTGATTCACATGTAATTCATATGTGATTCATTTTTTATTTGCACGTCAATCATATGTAATTCATATGTGATTTACATGTGAATCACATATAATTTATGTGTGATTCACTTGTGATTTACACGTGAATTACATTTGATTCATATGTAAATTACATGTGATTCACATGTGATTCA